CCCCCCCCCCCCCCCCCCCGCTGCCTGTCCAGGCCCGTCAGAACCCCCTGCCCACTATGTATCTGTCTAACCCCCCTCCCCCTTTTAACAATTTACGGGAGCTGTCTATCTGTCTATCTCCGCCCTGAATCCAGATCTATCTATCCCCCCTTCCCCTCCCCCCCCCCATCTATCTATCTATCTAACCCCCCCCCCCTCTCTGCGGTCCCCCAATCTTCCAGCCGCTATCTATCTATCTATCTATCTAACCCCCCCCCCCCCCTCCCCCCGGCCTAAAATTTTATCTATCTATTTCCCCCCTCCTTGGCTCCAATTTCCCACACCCCTCTATTTATCCATCCCCCCCCCCGGCATGAAATTTTACAGGAGCCTGTCTATTTCACGGGAGCCCGTCTATCTATCTATGTGCTCCCAATAATTGGGATCCTTAACATACTCCCAATATGACCCTTATACTACCTTAAGGGATCCTTCTAATATGCTCTGCCGCAAATCCCTTGCACCAAACGCCAAAGCCCTTCACTCGGGAACCTCTGGGCCCTAGGTCCTAAACACTCTGAAACAATAAAGAGACCCTAGAAATCAGGGGCCCCTTGAGGCCCTTTTGGAGCCCTAAGCCCCAGTCCCGTCAAGGGCTGGGTTTTTCGGGGGTTTAGGGTTTAGCGTTTAGGGTCTAGGGTCTAGGGTCTAGGATCCACCCGCCCCCCCCCCCCCCCCCCCCCCCGCCTCTGGCTTAAAATCTTACGGGAGCCCGTCTATCTATCTATCTACCCCTCTGCGGGTCCCCCAATCTCCCAGCCGCCCGTCTATCTATCTATCTAACCCCCCCCACTATCTAACCCATGCACCCCCCCCTAACCTCTATCCGCTAACCTTTGGATACATGCTGGTTAGAGGATAAAGGTTGCCAGGGTCCACCCGTACTATCTATCTATCCAACCACCCCCCACCCCCCCCCCCCCCCACTCAAAATTTTACGGGAGCCCGTCTATCTATCTATCTATCTAACCCCCCCCTTCCCCCCGGGCTTAAAATTTTACGGGAGCCCGTCTATCCCCTCCGCCCCCCCCAACCCCCCTTTGGCTTAAAATTTTACGGGAGCCCGTCTATCTATCTATCTATCTCACCCCCCCCCCACCCCGGGGCGGGTCCCCCAATCTCCCAGCCGCCCGTCTATCTATCTATCTGTCTAACCCCCCACTATCCATCTAACCCCCCCCCCCCCCCTCCCCCCCACCTTGAAAATTTTTTATCCGCTCCCCCAATCTCCCAGCCACCCCTCTACCCCCCCCTCCCCCGCCCCCTTTCCCGCCCCCGCCCATCTCTATTTAACCCCCCCCCCCGCAGCTTGAAATTTTTACGCCCGTCAGGTATCAGCTAACCTTTTTGCGGGTCCAAGACCATCAGATCGCCCGTCTTAAAATAACCCCACACCGAAGCCTGTGAGAAAACAAAGAACTCATTCCTTCTTTGGGCTGTACTTGAGCTTTAACTTTCCTCAGACCTCTCTTTCATTAGGGCTTAGGCCTTAGGGCTTTGGGCCTTAAGGCTTTGGGCTTAGAACTAAGACTTCGGGCTTAGGGTTAAGGGTCAAGAAAGTTAACAACATCTATCTATTTATCTATCCCTCCCCCCCCCCCCGGTAAAAAATTCTGCCTATCTATCTCTCTATCTATCTGTCTAACCCCCCCCCCTTCCTCCCAAACCCATCCTGCTATCCCTCTAACCTCTATCCCCCCCATTTTCCTAGGAGATAGAGGTTAGCCGGCGTACGTCCTGACTTAGGGGGTGCTCCCCATAGAGTGTGAACACGCATTTTCAGCCCCAAGAAGTCGCGGCAGGTTCGATGCTTACCTGCAGTCAAAGCTCGCCCCTGCAGAGACGCGCAGCCGAAGTGAGCGATTTACCACACTGTAGGTTCAGGGTCAGGGGTCTTGGGCGATTTGGGGGTTTGGGGTTGTTGCAGTTCGGGCGTGGGGTTGGGTGCCCCCCGTTGTACGGGCAGGCAGTGAGGCAGAATTTGCTTGACAGGTTTTGGTATAGGGTCTGCAGCAGGGGGTGCCTAGGCCCTCGTCGAATCCCTCGTTGCTCCAGCAACTAAGCTCCAGACCCCAAGCCTCACAAAAGAACCCAGGTCCAAAAGCCTTAATCAGATGTTTGAATGTGTGTATACGTTCTTTTGTTTCTGTTGCGTCATAGATGTTATGCTGTGTTGTGTTGTGATATGTTAATTATATATTTATGTACATGTTTTGTAGAATTGTTCGTGCCCTGTGTGTTCTCCACCCCTTCACCAGGCCCACTAGGGCTTCCATTGGCTGTGAATCAGCTTCGATGGATGAATTCTCGCATGGCAACTTATGGCGACAGGCATCTGTAGCAAGCCTTCCTTGCAGAGTTAAAGCCCCGGGACCCTGCAGCATTGCCCCTTTCTGACCCTGCGCACGGAGGATCGGCCTCAAAGCCTACTGTACACCTGAAGCCAGACTCCCAATCTCCCAAGCTTATTTAGTCACCACATCCTCATGTGACACGTCCCGTAACAGTCCTTTGCCCAGCCTTTCCTGCTCAACTCCGTTCTTCCCTTCTCAACTCCAAGAGAGCCCAGGGCTGCTGCCAAGGCTGTGGAAGCACAGGCCTTTTTTGAGTTCGGGGGCGGTGGTGTTGGGCCGTGTTGGGCAGTGTAACTTTGTTTTTGGTTTCGTGGGATGTAATGTAGCACTTCGATAGCACTTGGCGGTTGAGGGCCACTTGAAATCATGGAGTACTTTCGGATGATGCCCTTGGAAGCCAAGAAGGTAAACCAACTCCTCCTCCTCCTCCTCCTCCTCCTCCTCCTCGAACCCTTTAAAGAAAACTTCAAGCGTAAGCAGTGGGTGTAGACCCACACACATCCACGCTCCCCCACTCCCCGAATCTCCAAGAAAGTCTTGAGGGTTGAGAGCCGCACCAGGACGTGACTGAAGCCATGGATTCTTACATGCAGGGCCTCAGGCGATTTTGTTGGGGAGGGCGGTGGGAGGGCGGTGGTTTTGGGTTGAGAGGGTTTGAGTCTCGTCGGGACTTTCGGGCACATTGGCTGGGGCCTTGGGCCTGACCATTGGGATTCCTGAAAGTGTTCTTAAGGGGACTTGCATGTCGGACTCTGAAGTTAACACAAGCGCTGCCTTAGGCTCTTCGACCTGCCTGGTACACCGGTTCCGCAAGCCCTTTCTTGGATCACATCTTGTGACATGGAGCATAAAAGCCATGCGACAGTTTGATACTTTGTGTCAGTACACCTGTTCCGAAGCCCCATGAAGACTAGAAAGCCCCATACCCCCGCGGTGATGGTGCAATTGGAGGCTGTTGCGCGAGCTGCTCCTAGCTGCCGCCCGCTGCAAGAAGCCTCAGGCAGCTTGGGGAGGTGTTTTGCTCTTTGCATGTTCGTGGGATTTCAGCACATTTGTCTTGCTGTCCTGGGGGGGAAGATTCGGGGTGTTCATTGATGCTGCCTATAGGATGTGATGTTCTTTCTTGTCCGAAGCAGTCATTGTCGAGATGGTAGGACCTGGAGTTTTCCGGTCAGTGGCCGATAGTGGCTTGGGATGCCCTGCGTCAAGTGGACTGCCAGTCAGTCAAAAAAATCGAAGATGCTTTCTAACATCGGACTTTGAGAACGCTCCTTTCTGATACATCAGTCGAGCCCAACTCCCCCAGGATACCGACTGGCAGGGGATCCTGAAGCCTGTCATGGAACTCGGTTCCACAGCCTCTTGCCTGGCAATCCCCTCAAGTCCCGAAGGTCACAGCGAAGATCACAGGGGCAGAATTCTGGACTTGGAGGTTCTGGGATTGACTTTTGCTTCGTTTTCAGATGCCACACCTGGAACGTTTCCGGTAGCCGTGCTGTCGAACCCTACGCCAAAATAGCCCTGCAAGCCGCGTGAGCGCTGCTTGAATCCCCATAGCCTATAATCCGCAAATCATCCTCAGCCCTCAATCAGACTTCAGGCACAGAAAGCTTGCGACCCTCGGAGTGACTTCTTCCAGCATAGGACCCGACATTAGAGTTTGAGACTTTGGGAGTTCAGGGTTAAGGGGTTTGGGGTTATTGGGCGGCTGATGGCCTTGCAGGGTTCATAAGGTTTTTAGGGCTTGTAGGGCTTATCGGGTTGAGGGGTCTTTCAGGGCTGAAAGGGCCTATAGATGTGCTCTCCTGTGCGAATCCAGCTGTGCGCAGTTTTGCATCTTGTCCTCAGTCAATGCTATAACCCCACCTTCTGCACACACATGCATCCCACAGACGCCCTCCTCTTGAGACTTCATCTTGCTCGGAATCCCAAAATCGTGAGCAGGAAGGCTTGTGCCGAGTCGCTGAATGTGATCATGCCCTGGACCTCAGCAAATCTCAGCACAGAGTTCTCACCTCTGGCTATTTAACGTTTGCCTTGGGCCGAGCTCACTCTCTCATGCTGTAGGGATTGAGGGTTGGCATCTTCTTTGGTCCGCCTTGAGGTTGATGGAATGTGAGCACAAGAGATTCCCTATGGCCATAAATGGCTTTAAATGCCACGATGCCTGTGCTCGCCTGAGGCTAGTGACATCGCCATCTCCTCCGGGACACGCGGCTCGGCTAAGAGGAGCGTCCAGCAGTACGCCATCAACAAAAGTGCTCACAAGGAGAATGTTTCTGCGACCCCAAAGCGCCCAAGAAGCCCTCAAATCGGATCTCCTGCACTTCACCAAAGAGGCGCAGCGATCAGACTTCGAGCCACCTGAGGTTCAGAGCGTGCTGGAGACCTTCGACTTCCACGCCATGAAGGAAACGATTTGGGGGAATGGGGGCTTTTGATGAGGGTTTCAAGCAGCAAGTTTCCACTAGGATCAGCGCAAGATTGCTGCAGCCTCTGCAGGCCGAGAGGATGACATGATCTATCACACTATACGCGCTTAGAAGTGGCCCTTCTCAGCCTACAAGTTCAGGAGATGTCAGAGTTTTCGGAGTTTTGGGGTCTACGGCAGCCCTGACCCCGTGCAGGTGATGCAGAAGAAGGTTGACAAGGCCAGATGTTGGAGAGTCTTATTCCATCGCACATGTAGGATCAGTGGGACTGTGGTTGGGGGATCCATACTGAGTAGTGTGACAGAGCTCTACTCCAATGCAATACATGAAGCAATGCCATTAAGTCCTTTTCAATTTCCCAGGAAGTTCTGTTGAAACTCGTACAGGTGTTTCCGCTTCCTGCCCCAGCACATTGGGAAGGGTGCCATAGGGTGCCAATTCATCCATCCATGCTCCTGGTAGTGGGATGTCCACGAGTGACTAGTGGAGATAACATTGCCGACAAGTGGACCTGTGCAAGTGCCCCTGGTGGCCCAGGAAACGGCCTGGATCAAAGCCTTGAAGGAGACCCTGAAGGACCGGCGCCTTGCAACACCGCCTGAACTTTGAATCCTAAAGCCCAGCGACGCCTCACCCCTGAACCACATCCAACCCTGAATCCAGTCAAAGAACTCAAAAGCCTGTTGCCCCCTGCCTCAGGAGCTTAAGGAATGGTGCACCGAGAACTGCAAGCTGGGCCTGATCTGGAACGCGCAGGGCCAGGCCCGGTTTGAGGATTCGGGGAAAAGAAGCTCCCCGAAGTAGTTCTCCAGATCAGCCATTTGGAGTTGGCCCTACAGTGGCTTCAGGGTTTTGCAGCGAGTTTTTTTTTTTTCTCTCGGTTTTTACGTTTGCAAATCCAAGCGAAGAGGCTGCTGTGGACTACTTTGCGGCGTCGCCTTTGGGGTCCGGTGGCGCTGCAGCTGCAGGACCATGAGTGTCCTACCCTGATGCCAGACCGGCCTGAAAGAATTTCTAAAGAGTGAATCTGAAGGTTTCGTTTTGGCTTCCCGTGCGTTGAAGGGTTTAGATTGCTTTGGTTGCAGTGTGGGATGGGTTTCTTGCTTCTCTTGATGAGCTGTTATCGAGAGATTGGGTTGATGTATGCATTTCATGCCAGCGAAATGAAGATTTGCGCGCTGAAAAGCCTTCAAGCAGCATGTGACCCCAAGATACCTGGAATCATAACACTGAAATTACTTGGTTTAGGAAATCGCCGCCAGCTCAGCGTTTTCCACGCGCTCCCTGGCTCCCACGCGTCGGATCGGTGAAGCCCTTGCCCGTATCCCGATTGCACATGCTGCAGAGCCAAATTTGGCATTTCGGTACCACCTTTGCAGTTTTGCTGAACTTTCACAGGTCATTGGACCTCCCCAAATGTTTCTCAAGGCAGGTGATCTTGACCGATCTTGAGTCGAATCTTGCAGAAACGTGCCCTGTTGCCTTGGGAGCTCACGGCCTTGGAGAGAAGTAATATGCTCACTGTTCGCATTCGTGCTGTATTACTGAAGCAGTTTCATGCTAAAGCCAGATTTGTTGCAACGCGAAATCAACAGCTCCAGATGCGACAACATTCTTGATGCTAATCATAAGATTGACCTTGACATCACCACAGTTCGTCACGTCGCTTGTCCTGAGAGGAAGCGCCAGGACATTACGTGCCAGTTTTGCCATGCTCGGTTTAACTTCCTTTGTAAATCGGAAATTCCCTCGAAAATGCCACAAATGCTCAAAGCTGTCTCAGCGAGAGACAAATGCGTGGCTGAGAGTTTTACAAGAACAGCGTACAAAACGGACTGACATCATCACCAACCTGGAAGCATGATAAGCATCAGCTGTTTCACTTACATTGATCGCATTGACTCCAAGTCCGCGTCATCCCCAACCCCCAATCTCCCCAATCTCCCCAAGCAGTCCAAAGAGCCAAAGTGCCCCACCGCAGGAGGGGCCGCGACCCCTGCCCCGAAGAGCAAGGGCAAGGGCAAGGGCCCAGCAATGCCCAAGGCTGGGAAGCCAGGGCTTTGGAGGGCTTGGAGTCGTTTGGGGCTTTTATGGTTGGGTTGGACCATGCTGGACCAGCTGGCGCAGAAGGTTTATTTCAAGCAATCTAAGCGTGTTTTTGGCTATGGAGTGGTTCCCTTTACTATCTTCCATCCACTAAGCATCTGCTTCAAATGAGCTGTGCGTTCTCAACGTCCGCTCGTGTTGGGGCCGAGGAAGAAGTTTTTTGGAAGCCTTGGCATTTCGAGCGCGCTATGCAGGACCTTGTCGATGTAAGTCCATACTGCATCATTGGATGGCACGTCAAACATGACAATCGAGCAGCTTTTCAACAGAAGCCTCCCGCGAAGAAATTCTTCGGAACAACAACAAGGCAACTACCGAAAGTTCTGACTCCTCGCAGAGCTTTGAATCCATAGACCCCAAATCACCAACAGATAGCCTCCACCAATCAGAATCATTGCCGAAGGGCGGGCTGGCGCCGATGCCCGAGGAAGTGCGTGCCAAGCTGCGGGTGCGGAACTCTGGTAAGTGGCTACTATAAGCTATTCGTTGGGCTAGGTTCCCTTGTGGTGCCCTTGTGCCATTTGCATTCCTGGTTGCTGGTGGAAGCCCAGCAGTCATTAGAGTTGGACATCAGTGCCTGGAGCCTGAAGCTGAGGAGGGCGCCCCGGCGGCGAAGGCCCCGGCAGGCGCTGGCATGTCGGCCGTGTTCAGCGCCGGGGGCCTTGGGAAGGGAGCACGTTGATAGAGTCAAGGCAAGGCACTTGGCCTTTCAGATGTAGGGCTTGAGGTAGCGGGGAATTGCGACGGTACAAAGGGATTCAGTTTCTGCTAAGGCTGTGCCAGACGCACGAAGCATCCGCCTTTTGTTGCTGTGCGCTATGTGCAGCATAAGTGATGTTGTTTCTGTGTATGTTGCAAGAGGTGACGCTGCGACGCGTCACCCCAAGCCGGAGAGCCAAAACTCGATCGCCGACTTTCATACGTTCCAGGCCATCGGAGACTTCGACACAGGCAAGTTGAAGAAGGCGGCAAACCGGAGCCTCAGCTAGCCCCAGCCCAAACCCGACCATACCAATCCTAAACCCTCAAGAGTCAAGAGTGCTTCCTAAGCGGAGCAAGGGTGTGACAGCGGCACACATGGTGTCCAATCACCAAAGCCCCGAAGATTCGAAACACCCGCCGAATGCGGCTTGAGAAGCTCCTGCATTCTCAAGAGCAAGCTCAAAAACCGAAAACGCCCCTCCCACCCGTCAGGGTTCTTCAAAACATCCGAATGAAGGTGGCTTTCAACTAGGTCTTCACTGTTGGAAGAGTTTTCTGTAGTCATTGTCCCCGCGACTTGCCTTTGGCTGTGGGTGTGGTAGCTGTCTCGTTGACAATTTGAGGAGGATTCAGGAAGTTGAGGGATCGGTGGGTTCAGAGTGACTTGTGCTATCAGCAGTATCCGATGCTAAGCAGTGTCTCCTTTCCTAGCATGTGCTTTCATGCCCTGAAGTTCTTCAAACCCTGCAAACTCATCCGCGCCCACGCCGCCGAGCTGTTTTTGGGGGGCCCCTTTGGTTGGGCCCAGACTCGGCCGCGCCAGTCGAAGCACCGAGGCGGGGCGATTCAAACTCGGACGAGAGAGGTGAGGTTCAAAGGCGTTCCAGAGGCGACCTCGATCAAGGCGTGTTGGCTCAGCATTGACGATTAAGTTGATTAAGTGTTCGTTCCTGCTTGGGATTGAGCCCTCAATGAGCCATGCAACCATTGTTCTTGACGGGGTCCCCATGGTGCCACCTTTACTCAGCTCTGTCTGCTTTGTACCCATGCCGCTGTGGGCATGGATCGCAGGACAAGTGGGTGCGTGAAAGACTGTCTTCAAGGGACCTTGTACCACCTTGGAGCGCAGGATGAAAGCCCAACCCTTGCTCTCCATGCATTGCAAGCAACTCAAAATCCCTGCAGCCACCCAAGTAGAAACTGTGCTTTAGAAACCCTAATTCCCTCGAGGCTCCCTCCTACAGCTCTCCAAGCATTTCAACCCCCCAAAGCCCCAGGCGCGCGCCGGGCCCCAGAGCCCGCATGAGCGCCAAACAGGTGGCGAGTGCTGTGAAGTTTTTGGTTTCGGGATGTTTCGGGGTTGTGAGTGGGGAGTAGGAGTGTGGGGGAGATTACAGGACCATCGGGGTGTCTCTAGAGGTTCTCTTCTAGGGCTGTGGACTTAGGATCTTGAGTCTTTTTGCAAGCTTCTTTCACATCGTTGCTCTGCTACTTGGTTCAAGAATAGCTCGTTGCTTAAAACGCCGCATTTCCATGAACTCAGCGAAGTTATTCTTCTGTTTTGGGCGCCTCAACGACGCTAACAGTTCGAGTTTCGGACCATGCTGGGATATGCTGGCATTAGCCCTGACCCGCCCCCCTAACCCTACAATTGAGAAAGCGATTGCTAACTCCGAAATAGGGTCCCAGAAAGAGTCTGCAACACTCCTCTGGGCAAGGATAAGAATGGATACGCCGCCCTGCAGGGGCGAAAGGACCAGGATCCTCAGCTGGTTCTCGGGAGAAATGGGGCTCCCGAACCCTTCGATGCAGAGTTAAGGTTTAGTATCTGATAACCCGAGCGACCCACAGCGACTTTCTTCGTTCTGTTGAAGTGGAAGCTCTTTCCAAGGCTCTTGTGGAAGTTTGTTGAGCTGTAATGAAATGAAGTCCTCTGAAGTACATTCTGGGTGCTAATTCGACAGGGTGATGGATCTTTGGCCAGACCCTGGCAATTTTGCTCTCGACTCTTGCAAACGTGTGTGTGTGTTTTTTTTTTGTGTCTCTGTGTGTGTGTGTGTGTGTGTGTGTGTGTGTGTGTGTTAAAGACTGCCGCGCTGCAGTTCATCCAGTCGGCGATGGACACTGTGATTTTTGGCCACTTCCCTCAACGCTCCGTGCCAAATCGCGAGGAGGCTGGGGGCCAGGCCGCTGCCACGCCCAAGAAGAAGGTCTATGCAGCTGGGCCGCGCTCATGGGGTTTCGGAATTTCGGAGTCGGCTCAGCTCGTGAGGTTGGTTGTCCTGCCTCTGGGCTTGTTGCTCTCCCTCGAGGCGACACCTCCGAACGCTGTAAACTCGAAAAGAATAATAGTTTGACTACAATATGGTCCTAGCATTTTTACGTGTTCCGAGGTCCTGCAGCAAAAACTGACAGCTCCTAGCTCCAGTGATAGTTTGCCAGCCGAGGCCTCCTGCGTGTGCAGCTCAGAACTTCACCGCATTGCGATTCGGGCCTCCTCTCGTCTTTTAAGATATGCTTCACCTAGCAGGCCCGCGCCGGTCTTGCTGGATTTCTAGGTCGGTTTGCAGATTCGGGGAGTCCGCATCCTGAGTTTCTGAGGCACTACGCATGGGAGTGCAGGACAATTGAGGGCATTTGGGCTTGAGTGGTTTGGGGGCCCTCCTCTTGAAACCCCGAGGGGAGGCTCTTGTGAAAGATCTGTGAAAGCCCCCGAGGCCACGTGCGCGAAGCGGATCCTCCTGGACTCCGTCCTCAATGCCCCGCACTCGGAGACTCGGAGCCATGAGCTTGAGGCTTTATAAGTAGGCTGACTCTTAAAAGGAAGGCTGACTTTTGAGGCAGAGGGAACGTGAGGAAAAGGGAGGTTCGGGTGCTGCAGAGTTCAGGATGTTCAGGATGTTGGCAGGGTTTGGGGAGGTCTAAGGGCTGAAGCCCCTCAATGGCGTGCAGTTGAACACTTGGCGCCTTTGACTCCTTGGGAGGTTCTGCTTCTCACAGTGCCTTTTGGCATTGCAGCTCCGAGACTACACTGGAGTGACCAGGCCACACTGTAGCAAGCTTGCAGCTTCAGCTCTTTTTCATGCAGAGACGTGTAGAGACCCTATGGCGACATTTGCAAGACTTGTTGCCCTTGTCGCGCTTGGGAAGGCCGTGTTCGCACTGAACTTCCTAGCCATCCTCCCGCTCGCCAAGATTTTAGGCCGACCATGGCCAGTTCGGGGGATCATTGTTTCGCCTTCGCTCGACGGTCCCTCAGTCTCTGATCTAGCGGGAATGCCTCGGGAGATTGCATCTTGCCGGAGCATCCCAGAGCCTGAGCCGAGCCCTTCGTTTTCATTTGCGGTTTGCCCCGTTCCCCTCGCGCCCTGCAGGTGCTGCGACGGAGGAGCTGTCCGACAGCGTCGGGGCGCTCCCGGCACTGTTCCGGGAGGGCGGCTCTCTGTAAGTTCGCTAGTTTCAGGCACCTTGGGGCTTGTTCCGGACTTGGGATTGGGCGAGGTTTTGTCACTGCTATTCTGCGGCACTTGACGTGGCCTCATCAAGATCTGAGTGGACTGCTTCGAGATGGTATGGCATTTCATTCATGCAGTTGCAAATCAGGTGTTCTGGCTTGTTCTGTGTGCTTGTGCTTGTGTGGGATGCCGATCTTCATTTTGCCACCTCAAGTCCTGCAGCGCTGGATTCAATCGAGTTATATACAACCTCAGGATTCAGGATTTGGGGTTTTGGTTTGTTGCGCGCTTGAAGTATGTACAGGATGCCGGTTCGGAGCGACATCGTGCCTTTTGATCATGCGGTGCCGGATGCCGTGCCAAGCCCAAGCCATGCCAGGAGACGCTGGGGGGCCTGCTGAACGCATCTTTTGGCCTCCTGGCTGAGCAGTGTCTAGTTTAGGAGTTCGGCAGGCTCGTAGACAAAGCCGACACAGCCCTGAACTGTCACCCTTGGGGGCACTTGTCATGAGACCTCAACGCTATCTAAAACATGCATGCATACATAAAATACATAAGTATCCATATATATGTATATATATATATGTACACAAAAGGATTTTTTCACAGTTACATGTATACATACAGATCCTTGTGTGCGTGTAGAGTATATGTATATGTATATGTATATGTATATGAATATGTATATGTATATGTATCTGTATATCGATATGTATATGTATATGTATATGTATATGTATGTGATATGTATATGTATATGTATATGTATATGTATATGTATGTATGTATTCTATATATATACACATATTTGTATATATGCATCATATGTATATGTATGTATGTATGTATGTATGTATGTATGTATGTATGTATGTATGTATGTATGTATGTATGTATGTATGTATGTATGTATGTATGTATGTATGTATGTATTCTATATATATATATAAATATAAATATAAATATAAATATAAATATAAATATAAATATAAGTATAAATATATACATACACACACACACACATATTTGTATATATGCATATATATATATATATAGGCTTAGATATATATACATACATATATATATATATATATATATATATATATATATATATATATGCATAGGCATATGCATATGCACAGAAATATATGTGTGTATATATATATATATATGCATATACATATATACAAAAAGATAGACCTCAGCCACAGTGCCATTTTTACATGCTTGCACAGGTAATGCAGTGGAGATGCTGCTGTCAGTGTTCGCGCTCCGAAAGGCCATCAGGAATGAGGGTCTAGAGCTTATTGTGGGCATATCGAGCTGCAAAGCTTCACCGTTTAACCCAATGACCAGCGGATTTTCCCCGAACACAAACATGTTTTTGGCAGGGCATTTAGGGTTTAGGGTTTAGGGATTAGGGTTTGGGGTTTGTAGAGGGTTCAGCCCACTGAGGCTGGAGGCTGGAGTGTGGAGTGGAGGCTTCAAGTGTTTACGAGTAGGGCCCAGTAGGGCCTAGTATAGTGCCTACTTGGGTCTCACCCGCTACTAGTACAGGATCCCTAGTTTGTAAATCCACTTCCGACACGTAGGGACGATCGACATCGATCAATCCCCATCTCTACCTGGGTATGCGGGGGGTGGAAGAGGGGTCTTAAACTCTCGACCTTGGCAGCAACCTTCAAACCTCGAAGACCAATGACGAAAGCACTTTTGCAGCTCCTTGTCACTTAACCCCACAGGCGGATTTCTAGGAAACGAGGACCTAGACCTAGATCGGCTGGTTCTCAATCCACAAGCCATTCTGTAAGCTCTCTGCCCAGAATTATCCATGCGTTGAAATTCTTCTTGCGCTCAGGGCCTCGTGAGCGTGGTCCAAGGCAGCTTGCTGGGAAGCATCCTCAGCAATCTTCTCCTGGCCGGGGGCTCTGCGGAAAATCCAGGATCCAGTGTTGTCCTCCTATCTGAGCAACTCGGGATTCGGGATGGAGGATTTTGGGTCAGTCCTGTTTAGGTTTCTCGCGAAAAAACTCATGTCTTGGAGCTGCCCCGGTGGGGGTCAGTGATTGACTCTGGGGCCCTTAGCCCGACTGCGTCCTGTCGAAGCATTTGCCCCAAGGTGCTTGGCATGTGCTTCTTCTTTGGTCGCGGACTCAGGAAATGGTCATCCATCGAGCTGCAATGAAACTCTCAGCTTCGCGAGTTTTGCTTCGGGTTTACCAGCTTACCATGGAGCTCGTTGCTGTCTTGTAGCCAGCCATGCCTTGAGCCAAAACTTCCAAGAGAAGTTCTCGCCACCCGTGCAGGCGGCATCAAATTCCACAAGCAGAAGTACAATGCCGACGGCGCCCGTGTTCAATCCAACCTCCTGCTGCTGTCGGCCGGGCCCTTGAATGAGGCTTGAGGTTTGGACCCACTCGATGTCCCTACAAGGAGAGCCCACGGCTTTTTTCAAAAAAATCGACGGTTTTTGAAAGGCCTTGGCTCTGAGGGTCTGAGCATCTGACTGATAGAGCCCGAGAGCACCCAGCACCACACATTTTGCGATCCACTTCTGGAGCTAGAGGTATGGGATGGTGGTTCAAGCCGGGCAAAGGAGCCAATTTGCGTCCTCTTGAATCCTGAACCTCCTGAACCTTGCACATGAGGTCCTAGCAATGGTGATCCCTTCGCTGGTGGGTCTGGTAACCAGCTGTGGCCTCAAGATGACCTGCATGCCGCCTGAACCTATGTTCGCAGCCATCACGGTCCTGGACTTAAGCTTGTGAATGCTTCTGAACTCGGGCGCCTGCAAACTACAGTTGTGAAGCTGTTACTTCACTCGGACTCTACTTGATTTCCACCAACAGAGCAACATGAGAGTTTGATGTTTGTCTCATGCCGCGTGGCGGCCTCTTGACAGAAACTGTGTTCGCCAGTCCCAAGTAACCTGGATTTGCACACACCCGACAACCTTTTTTGCTCGTACGTCTGTGTTCGATATCCAAGCAATATCTGTAGCATCTTATCATTGTTGAGGGTTCGATGGAAACCAAAATAGTGATCATGGCATCGCTTCTTTGAGTTCACTTCTTCTGGCTCACTGCATCTACATCCTGTGCACTTCCTCGGTGAGGTCCCACTTAGCCTGTGGACTCAACTGGTAAGTTCTTGTTGTGGCTGTTGTTGTTAGGGCCGCTAGTGTGCTGTTGTGCCGACTCTTCCCTGGCCGAGGTGAGGAGGGCGTTTCTCTCGAAATGTCAAGAGGCACAGACCAAGATAGAAGGGACAAGACGTCTGTACATGTGATGAATGCGAGTGTTTTCAGAAGCCTACTTGGATCCCCTCTGGTTGGGAGGTGCCGCAATCATCCTGGCCGTTCTGTATGGTCTCTTGGCGGCAGCATGATTTTGCCTCTACCATCCTCTATCCCCCCCCCCCAGGCCTCCAGGTCAAGACTGCTCTCCAGGGTTCCATCGGGTTCGGGCCCGGAAGACTTGGCATGACTTGAGGTCTCTATTTAGTGTTCCAGCTGCGCACGCACAAAGATTACTTCGAGGTCCGCGGGAGGATCCACCTTGTTGGGCTCGTGTGCCTACTCCTTCTTTGGTTTTCAAGTTTTTTGCCAAAGCCCCAAGCCCCCAAGCCCCCAAAACCCCCAAACCCTAAGGCCCAAAAAGCCTTCATATCTGGGAGGGGACTGGGTTCCCATGTCTTTCGCTGCCGCCCAAGAGGTGGTTCATCGTGCCGCGCCACCCAGAAAGCTTTCTGAATGCATATGCGTTTCTTCCAGATTCCCGTCAGAAAGTTCGGCTTCCTCTCTTGAATTCGGCCTCGAGTGCTTTGGGGTTCCGCATCATTGCACACCTCAAAAAGTCCTGCGCCAGACGGAGCAAGACGAGGGTGCTGATGGCGAAGAGGACGCCGGCTTTATTTTGCCTGCGTGTTTCCTGCGGTGTCGGCTTTCAGGCCTGGGTTTGAGGGGGTGGGCATGGGGTGGGCATAGGATTAGCCAGCTGCGCAATGAGGGGCCTCGAACTCGCCTTGTGGTCACGCCCACATTTCTACTATGGTTCTTGGAGAGAAACGTAAGCCAACACCTACCAAAGCAAACCGGCAGCCCGGCAGCCCTGGCCTAGCGCTTGAAGGCCTTTGAAGGCATCCCCTCCGTGTTCTGTAGGAGCCGATGCATCCCGGAGTAGCATCACTGTCCGGGCCCCACAGGTTCTGGCACAGACTGGAGACTTGGGTATAATTATGTGTAGGCCAATGTGTGTAGGGATGCAGGAAGGTCCTTGCACAACTCGGCTTGCAGACGTTGCGTGCTGTTGCAGTTCGGTTCAGGGTGCCAGCTATGCCGCAGCTGTGTGTAGTGAGCTGAGGGTGGTAGCAACTCCCTGGAACAAGCGATGCAATCCTACGGCCCAAATCTCTCAAGCATCGAAAATGCCAGGCTGCTGTTGCTGGTGACTCTCCTGGTCGCGGTATGCTCCGAGGGGCTCGTCGATAGCGTCGAGGCATGTCCCCCGAGGATCGTTCCGTTTAGGCCTCTCCTTTTCTTTTCGAAGCCCTGCCGATCCCTAGCTTGGCTGAATCGCAACAACCTTTTGAAAGACTGGAACCCTATTGCAAATGCCACTCTACAAGGCAAACCCAAAAAAGCTGCCGAAGTCCCAATGCCTCGAGGGCATTACCCGGGAGATGGGCATCTCAGAGCATTTCATCGGTGTCGTCTGGGGCTCGGCGCTATGGCCCCTTGTTGTGGGGGGGGGGGGGGGGGGGGGTGTTGACCGGTTATTCACACTTCGCAGTTGTTGTTGGGGTGTGGCGGTTGCGGTGGCGGTTCTGTTCAAGCCTTGCGAGAGATCCTAGATGTTCCTAGATGTTGCTAGAGTCTGACAGTCTTCGAGTCTTAGGGTGAGGCTCTCACAGGCTTTGCCTGATTTGAGTTGGAGTCTTTGTGAATAGACCTGGATGCGGAGTGGGATGCTTCGGTTGCATCCTAGCCGCCCTAGCGCTGGTCTGTGAGAACAAGGAATCTTTCCAACCATCCCGAAGGCCTCGACCATCACGAGCTATAGGACGCTGTAAACTTCAAGCATACAAGTCATATAAGCAGCTGATCAAGGTGTTTTTGACGCGCATTCTCTAGAGACTTCCGTCCAAGAAACCGCCTCGGGGCAAAGCACAAAGCACTCGCGAGATTCTCCTGCCAATCGTGGGGAATGCAGCAGAGCACCTGACAGCGGTGCCCGGCTCAGAGACTCAGAGCTACGCTGGGCTTCGGAAGGTTTCGATGGTGAACTTGATTTTTTAACAGCTGCGCCCTACGGCCAGGTAGATGTGGCGATGAAGAACAAGATGGACCTCTCCTTGGGCGTTGCCTTAGGCCTCGGTTCGTGGCTGTGTGAAGTTCCTGGGAGCAAGTATTTCAAGAGGTTGTTCCGTAGGAGTTGTGGTTTCCGTTGGGCATAGGGCCGGCGCTGGCCTGTACTGCTTGTTGTTGAGGAATAGCTTGCAGCTCTGTTCGGTCATGCTCGGGATCCTTTGGGCCTGGCTTCGGGGAAGTCAGTCGGCATCGTGAGAAATCTTATCGGAATTCCAGTGCCATGTCAAATACTATCTCAAACCAGTGCACAGAGCCTAGCCAGCCTGTCAAACCCTGAGCCGGTGCTTCCTCCCAACAGAAGCCTCTGCAGGTTCTTCGTCGCAGATTGCCTTGCTGGTCGTTCCTTTCACGGTGTGGGCCCCGTCTACCTCGTGCATGTCCAATGCAGGGCCGACAAGTCGTTTTAAACAGGTACAGGCTTTGAACACCCACTGCGTTGCCAGGATTCAGAGAGGACTAGGCTAAGGCGTATTTGGTTTACAAGGTTTAGGTTGGGGCCTTAGAGTCCTCATCCCTAAACCCCTGAATCAAGCCTGATGCACTGTTCCGTGAGCCCTTTGCACCCTGAACACCCAACTCTTCTTGGAAGGTCTGTGCGGGCTGGGCCATAGGGGTGCCCATGGCTGCGAGCTCAGCTGCGAGACGTTGTTTCCAGTGTTTAGTTTCCAGCTTCGGGCCAGGCTGGTTGAGTTTTGTTGGATGTGAGGTTCGCGGCCACGTTAAGGGGCGCGGGTGCTGCCTTTGAGGCTTCGGTGGTCGACTCCCAGTTGTCCTCAGGTTTGGTCTGGTCGTGTCCAGACATCAATGTACTGGAAGAACATGAGCAGCAATCATTTGTGCAGCAAGGGCAAAGCAGGGGCGAAAACACAACTCTAGAACACAAGAGCTGGGAATGAATGGTACAACATTCGAATCCTATGCTGGTGAGGAGGGCGTATCCTATACATGTCTGTAAGCAGAAAGGTTCCTACAGATGCCATGCATAGGTGGCAACGCCGCCAGGACGCCTTGAAAGCAGTCGTCAGAGTTTGACTTGAGCGTGACCTGATAACAAAGGACTTGAATTTCCGCCCACTTGGCACGGGCATCCTCCTCGTCACTGTGCTCATTGTGCGGCCCCCAAACCGTTCGGAAAGGCACTAGTGACTCAGCATCGGCATTTCACGCAACGATGCCGAAGGCAGGTGCAGGCTGAGATGAACGTTCGTGATGTCAAGATGGGACGCCTCTAGGGGTTTAGCGGGGGTGGGGGAACTCCTGTTGCCTCGGGTGCGGGTACAGCGTTCCTCGAAAGTGCCGATGCACTATTGCCACTCTCCTCTCCAACTCATGCGCCGCATTCTAGTGCAGCTCCCACAAGGTTGGCAGTGTGACCAGCGACGGCGAGTCGGTTGCCCGGAAGAACTCAGAGTCACAGCAGTTGCTTCAGCTGACTCAGCCTGCAGACTGACTCGAAGACTCGCACGCCGCTCGCAGTGCTCGCGGTGGCAGTCTTGTCTTCTCATGCCCTAGATGGGCAACACTCCTTCAAATCTACTGGTTTCTTTGCCACAGTAGGCTAAGACATGCATGAGTCACTGCCAGAAACGGGGGGAGTGAATTCGCAGTTGCAGGGTTCCCCGGTGTGGGTTCAGGGTCCGTGAAGCGATTTGCGGGGATTTCTGAACCCAGCAGGGCCGCTGCCTCATCAACCTTTGGTGCTCGGATACTTTCGGATTACGCCAACATCTCCAAAGCTGGATTCCCCAAAACTGAGAGATGCCCAAGCCACCTCGACGTGAGCAGAGAAGTTGCCCTGCACCCATCCCTAAAACTCTGAGAACTCTGAGAGCTCTGAGGTTCCTAAGCGCATGAAGCGCGCTGAGCTGAGCTGAGAGCAAACCCGAAAGCTCTCAGGTCCAACTGGCTTGAGGGGGCCATGCTCATTGCCGCCTACATCATGGTCGGCCTGACGCTCTCCTGTCTCGAGTTACTGTACCTTCTTCTGTGATAAGGGGGGGGGGTGAACCAGCTTGAACCAGCTTTTTCCCTGTTCTCCCCAGAAAACGCTGCAGTGCACTGTTGGTCTGCAGTGCCCCGTAAAGATCCTGCAGAGTGTGGAGTGCTCACCAGAAATCCCTTGGAGAATCCTGAAGCACTTACCGATATCTTGGGTTCAGCAAAGGTTCGAAGTTTTTTATGTTCGTGCGTTTGTCTTGTGGGAGCTCAGGTTCGTTTTTAAGGTTGCGTTTCTGCAGACCGCGGTGCCATCGCATGCGATTGGCCTGAGGGGCCGCCCAAGCCGAAGGTCCCCCCAGGTTGACCAAGGTATGCAAATGTCTGCCTTTGGGGTCCATCTTAAGACAGGCAACCCATCGAAAACCCAAACTCCCCTCCCGAAGGGAAAGCTGTCCAGCTGCCAGGTTTTGGACGATGCCTGACACCGTGTAGCACCGCCTGGAGTAGAATCTGGGACATTCATGTACGGGATTTGCAGCCTCTTTGGGGAGCGATATGGCTACAGGGGTCGGGTTCAGATGCAGGCTGTAGGATTGTGTTTGGACAACACCCGAGAGCCGTTCCTGCAGGTCGTAGAAAATGTTACAGGAAATTCACGGCTGGCTTCGGCTACAGTACTTCAGTACTTTGATGGGCGGCTGCTACACGGCCAGCGGCGCTTTTCAAGATGATGGCGATGGACAAGACGCAGAACGTGGCCGCAGAGCAACCACCCGAAACCATGTAGGAGAGCAGAGTGGCAGCGCTAAGCCTTCACACCAAGCTAAAGCTAAAAAGTAAAAAACAAAGTGCGGCACACGTGCCATGTTCGGCGGACCAAGTTTCAAGTATCACCAGCTGTGTGTTTCACATCCCAGTCGCGGCGAAAGCTCGCAGAAATACAGTCGGACGGGGAAAGGACCACATCCCGCAGCCCCTAAACCCGAAGAAGCTCAGCCGCCGACTCGGGCCATGTTATGTTGGCCAATGATGGCCAGCTGGGCACCAAACATGGTGAGATCCTGTCTCTAAGGGGCGTGCCCCTCCCTCTTCGCCTAGCAAAGCCAGTAAACCCCAACGGTGAACGCGAACCCCGGGCGAAGGAAGGAAGCCCCTAAAGCGCCTACACGGCACATATCGGGCTGCTGGCGCCAATGTTTTCAATCTTGTGAGAGGGAGGACCTTCCATGATAGGCTTGAGGGTTTGGGGGTAAAGTTTTAAGGCTAGAGGTGAGGTTTTTGCTGATGTTTTTGGGAGCTTGGGTGCGCTGATCTGCAGCGGTTCCCTCGGAGTTTTGGAAGACGCCGGAGAGCAGCCGACCCAGGGGACCCAGAAGCAGCGCTACAACTTGGGGGAGATGTGTCTGCACATGTCTGCACATGTCTGCACTGCATGCGCTTGTTGGCGGGCCTTTGAAGCTTTTGCTTTGCCTTGATTTGGCTAAGGCTTGCCGTGTCAGCAGACTTTGCAGAACCTTCAGGGTTCTGTGCGTGCTCGTGTGTTGCCAAGTTTAAAGCTTGGGTGGTCAAGGCGGTCAGGGAAAGGGTCTCAGGGGTGCCAGAAGGGTGCATCATGCAGCCTGCATAACAAATGGCGCAACCTCAAGGTGCAGAGGTTTGGAACTCCCTGGGCTTGCAACGGTGTAGCAGAATTGTCTTGAACGATTCTTGAGCAATTGGGAGCCGACATTGAGAGGAAATGATGAGTGGATGTGAAATTCAGAGGGCCCTCCCGATGCCCTCAATATCAGCTGCGCGTTGCGCTTTCCGGAGCTTTGGGCGCTTGGCGAGTCGCATCAAATCCAACGAGAGTGTTTGAGACCAGAGTCCTGATGCTCAAGGCCAGGTTGGTTTGCAAGTTCCGGGCGTAAGGGTGCGGTCCACTGGGAATATGTTGCGATTCGCAAGAAAGCCCTAACTTGCCGGTACAACAAGCTTCCAGAGATGGCGTGCAAAGGCCACCCCATGGCATGAAGCTCGAAAGCAGAGGGCTTCCTTGCATCAAGGGGCTGCTGTGGTCACTTTATTTGCAACATCATGCGCCCCAATCTGCTCATGACGAGTTGCCACTCTTCCCGGAATCTTCGATGTTAAAGGCACTAGTGAAGTAGAGAATCTCGAACTCTCGACTGTTGACTTTGACTTCTATACGTGCAAGGACTACAGAACCTGAGAGGAGGGGGCGCAGCGGCCACGAATGTAAGCGTGCGATGCCATCGGGGACCCTTCGCTGGATCCTTTCGACCCCTAACGGTGTCCGGTGGCACACACTTTGTATCCGCAGCACAAACGTGCTGCCTGAAGAGCTCAATGCGTACGGGAACAAAAGCAGAACTAATGTTGGTGCTTGGACAGAAGGCTTGGCAATCGTCGTCTAGGCCAGTCTAGGCCTTTCGACAGAAAATGCTTGCACTGCCCTGTTGGACGCAATCCCCTCCCTGATCCTGGTCCTTCAGTGTTCTTCACGCGTACGTGCTTACAGAGGTTGGTTTAAAGTTTTATGTTGCTGTGGGGGATGGAGAGAGCTTCTCCCGGCTGGAATGTCAAAACTCCAAAGTCTTAGATCCTTGAGTGCTTTGGGTCTGAGGCTTAGGGCTGTGGAAAGGTAGGTGTAGCGTTTTTTTTTTTCCCAAGCCCTGGCAGCCTGGACAGGTCACTGCGGATATGAAGACAAAGAACCAGCCAAAAGACCGGTCAGTGAAACTGGTTTTCGGCATTTGGGTGTTTATGGTTCCATGGGTTCTAGGTTCTAGGGTTTCCGTTCGAGGCCTTCATTCAGTCTAGGCTTCAGGGAATCTTCGGTTTAGGCTTTTCGAGTCCAGGGTGTGAAACTTTAGGGTTCTAGGTCGGGTTCTGAGGCAGCCTTGCTTGTGCATATCTGGCGTATTCTAGCGTCATCAAAAGGTCTGTTCGCATGTCTTAGAGAGTACTAGCTCTGTGGTCCTGGATCTGAAGAAGGCAGGCAACATTGAATGGGATGTCTCGCCGCCTATATGCAGCATGCTATGTGTCATCTCTATGTGGACTGCAGGAGTGCATCTCAAGACTAAAACGCTTCGTGCGTACCTCGGCAGGATGGGCCACAAGTTGTCTCTGCCGCACCAAAGGCGCCTTTTTACCCCTCGGGTCTCTTCAAAAAGTGACGATCTTCTGCGAATCTTCGGTACCGCTTGTCGACAGGCTGCCCCTGCGGCGCCGGGAAAGGGCTTCAACCGCCGCGGGCCGCGCGGGCCCCCTTCGAAGGCTGTGGGACCTGTGGAGGGTCGAGCAATGGGGTTTAGATCTGTAAAATTCTCTCACCTGTCCAAACACATAAATCAACAAGAGGAAGAACGATGAGAAACGATGCACAAAGAAGCCTTCTGGGTGCTTGGAAGGCTTTAGATTGTTTGCTTCAAGGTTTCTGTGATTTCAGGGCTTCGGCTGTTCAGGAACCACCTTGCTACTTCAGGAGCTTCAGAAGGACGTGAACTGGATGGTGGAGAATTACGATGGTGAACGCAACCTTGCCGCGCCCCTGTGGGGATGTTGAGGGAGGAGCCTTACTTGCAAGATATTCAAAGCCATCAAAGCCATCCCCCCTGGCTGAAGTTTGAAAGGGGATGTACTGGTTTCCAGAGGCTTTGGGGGAGCAGAGGGGCTGTTTTGAAGTGAGGAGGGCATTCAAGGAAGGGCTGGCTTTGAAAGAGAAGCGCTCGCGAGTCGCGAAGCTCTCGAGGGCCGGAGCCGGCGTCGGGATTCAGACTCCAGGAGGGGGTTTTAAGCAGCACCCGTGCCCTCAAGGGTGCAGTACATCAGGAGGCTTTGTCTTTTTGATGCCTCTGGAAAAGCGTGCAATTGTAGCTGTGGTGTGAAAGAGTTAGGTTCCAACCAGAGCTCGCTTTTTGAGTGGCTCTTTCCCAAGTTCTTCCCTCTTAAGTACCGTGGCTCAGGCGCCAAAGCTTGGACTGAAGAAGTTTGTGAACGGGGATTTCAGTTCAACTCGAGAACACGGGCCCTCGAAGTGGCAAGAGTCATTCGTCCAAAAATTGTCCCCGCGCCTCCACCTGTGCTCCACAGGTCATGGATGATGTCCGGGCCTCGGTCTGGGGCTTTCAGGGTTTAAGCTGGAGAGTGCAAATGGGGTGAAAATCAGGGGATGCGCGATATGAGCCGCTCTGTGATCTGCCACACGCCTCAGTATTGAAGTTCGGCACTGTGCATCAGCATGAATTTGTAGTCTTCCGTCTTCCTTTACACTTTAGATTTACCTGAAGTGGCCGTAGTCTTTGCTGCTCGAGCGCGTATCTCAGATTGTCGGAGGTCAGCATGCAGCAGCTGGTGTGCATCATCAACTGTCGGAACACCACCGTTCACATCAAGAACAAGGCACCCGAGCTGTCTCAGGAGCGAGGCCTTCGTTATTGTTGTCATTTTGCGCAGCCGGCGTTGTAGGCTCCTGTTTTTGGAGATGCATGGTGTGATGGGCATCAGGATTGAAAACCCCCGAAATGCACAGCTTGTTGCAGCATGCTCCGGCACAAGAGCTGCACTGGCCCGTGCAACATCACAGCCTCTTGCTTCAAAGCCACCCTCCTGCCCCTACTTGTAGACGTTGTGTGTTCAGGCAAAGACATGATGTCTGGTTTCAAAGCTAAGAAGCGCATTCGATATGTTTGCCGGTCGATGACCATTTGGACGTGCAGTAGGGTGTAGGGTTTCATTCTAGATGAAGACTATTTTGTTTTTCGTTTTATGTTAATCTAGGGCTCAGGGCTTCCTTTCGTGGGATTTAGGATTCAATGGGGTCCAGCTGTGCAGGTCAAGTCCATTTGCATTGATGGCTGCGAGAAAGTCAACGTCATCTGCCAGGACGTGATCTCTGCTCGAAACTGAGACATAGGGACCATCGCACTTCACGGTCTGAAGGCTGCCTTTAAAACAGCCCTGAAGAAACCCTGAACCTCTGAACCCAAAACGGCCCAATGAGAGGAAACGCTTGTCCGGAGCACACTGAAACATGTGTACTACACCAGCACGGAGACATCCCACGTGTCAGTGCCCCCTGCACTTAGAGCGTGAGCACTTTGGCGCCGGTTGAAAGGGCTAAAGTGCAAGGGCTGTCTCTCCTTTTCTTTCTCGACTGTTTAAAACAGTACTGTTATCGCAACTTGCATCTAAGCGAAAGCCTCGCCCACAACACAGGTTGTTCATCGTTCGCCGTTGCCGACTCATTTCTACCAAATCGTCCATAGATGCAGCGTGGAAGTTTCTCCTGTTGCATGTCTGGCTCCAGCTCTCTTTTTTCTTCTTTTCTTCTCTCGATTTGGAAAACCAGAAAGAGACCTTTGTAGAGACCCCCAAGAGATCCCTCACGTGACACTTTTCTTCTGAGCTCAGCTCAGCCTCTCAGACGCTGAGGCCGTGGAGCTGGTGAACAGCGACCGGTGTCAGATGCAGGCGCTGGGCAAGGCCTCCGACCCAAGTAGAGGGGAACCAAGGGCGGCTCCGTGAGGTGAATGGCGTTATTTCTACTTTTTTTGACACGTGTAGAAAGCGAGAATCCAGAGACTCCTTTGTTTCCAGTCACTTGAGTTGGAGACGTCAGAGCTCTCCGTGCCAATTTGAAAAACTCGGCATGAGTCGAGCCCAGCCCTTGGCGGCTCCCCGTGTCGCTGAGAGCTTTGTCGGCGCCCCAAGCTTTTCATGACATGTCTCTCCGGAGGTCGTCGCGATTGCCATTGACAAGTGCGACGGTGTCAACGTCTTCCTCTCCAAGGCCTGTCATGGGTTCTCAGCCAGGTCAGTTTAACGCATCGGGGAATGGGACATGGTACTCGAAAGAACTCATCTCGGCTCCTGAAGTGTTTGCGTGCTAGGCACGGGTCGTTTCATGCGACGATTGCCTTGCTGCATTTGGGTATCTGGATACCTGAAAATCACGGAGTTTAACAGGCCCCGCTTGTGCATCTTTGCAGAATCTCCCGGAAATTCGGAGGAGTCTGTGCAAGCCGAGATCACGGCCTCGAAGTCATCGGAGATGAATGCAGGGTCCTCGCTTCGTCTTAAACCTCTTGAGATTCGGAGCTTCTGAGGGGCATCTGATGCAGTCACGCAGTACCAGGAGGGTCATTGTTGTCGTGCTCCTTGTGTCGGAAGTTTTCTAACCAGAAATTGCAACGAACTAGTTGGCATGGAATTCAGATGGTGTGTCACCCGCCCTGGTCTGGAGCAGCTCAAGCATCAGTCTGTTGAGAGGGATTGTGGCCACGCGGAGTCGATTTCGCCATGTCTCTCAAGGCCTGGCTTTGCATCTCAATGCTTGCTTTGGTCCAAGCCCTTGGGGAGGACGGCTTTGATGAGCTGGCCTTCGGCATCTCGATGGCTGTGCTCGTGAACATTATCCTTCTCGTGGCATGCCTTTGGCACCTCCTTCGCAATCAGGGCACGCAATATGGAAAGCCAGTCGTTCCAGCGGGTCAAGACCCCAAGGAGTTTGCCGTCTCAGAGCTCCAGGCAGCTTTCGATGCCAAGAATGCACCCCGCTATGCAGGTGCCTTAGAGCTGGCCTTGGAAGTGAATGTCGACCCCGACAAGATTCCTTGCGTCTACAGCTTGCAAAAGCAACCTGAGACATTCAAAATCCCTGTTGTCCAGAGAGGCTCCAGTGTAATCACAGCTCAGCTGTGCTTCATTCTGGATTATACGGGAAGCATGAAAGAGCAGATCAATCAGGCTGAGAAAAGTTGCCGAAGCATCGTGGAGGCCGTGAAGGCCATGAAGTTCAGCCACATGCCCGAGGCGTCCGTCGACTTGGAGATGGCGGCAGTCGGCTACAACGACTGGGATGACAAGACTGCGAGCTTGGGGAGGCCTGTCGTTTCTGTCTATGGTGGCAATGAGATTAAGAAACGGCATGACCCCAACATTGGTCTGGATGAGTTTAACCTCGGTGGCAAGTTCACGAAGGACAGGGCCGTGAACGCACTCCTTACCATTGCATTCACTTCACTTATAACCGCATTAAAGGACTCATTAAAAGCCCCTACAATTATAATACTACGGGCCAGTTCACTTATAAAGAATGCATGAAGTGAACGTAAGGCCCGTATTATTATATTGGGGCTTATAGTGTACGTCCTTTACGCCCCTATAATAATATTACGAACGAAGCGTGCTTTTATTACCTTCGTTCGTACTATTATTAAGGGGGTACACGGCCCAGTTCATAGACTCACACGAAGGACACCGATGACATCATGAAGTGGATTAAGCAACCGCTGGGAAGTGGTGGCTCCATTCCTGAAGAGTTGACAGGCGCCTTGATTGCTGCCAGCCACCTTCCGTGGAGTGCCAAGGAGCGCTTGGCAGTAGTGATTACTGACGCTCCATGCCACGGCAAGGCCTACAGCAACGACAGCCATGACCCTTTCTGCGACAAGGAGACGGGCCTTACGTGCACAGGGAAGCCAGAAGTGCCTTTGTTGAAGCTGCAGGAGCAGAACGTTCAGGTTGTCATCTTGCACACTGGAAACGCAGGTGCAGTGAAGATGTGCCAGAAGCTCTTGCAGACTTCGCCCACCTTGATCCAAGAGAAGGTGTCCCCTTCGGAAACTGCAGACCGCCTCGTGAATGCCATGAACACCAAACTTGATTTGAGTCCCTTGACCTACCTCATGAAGCCTTTCACACGTGAGGGCTTGAAAGAGGTGGCATTCAACCATGAGGTGGAGCTGAAGGTGGGGGGTGAGACTACGAAGCATCGAGTGGGATCTGATGGCTTGATTTGGTTGGGGAAGCCTTCCTCCGCGCCCGTGATGACCATTTCTCGTCCCGGCAATGCGGGCTTGGACGAATGGTGGGAGGCACAGACTGCGGGGCAGGAGTTGTCGCGCAGCTTCGACGTGGACCAGGTTTACAAGCTCACGATGCCCTGCAAAAAGCGGGAGCAGGGCGACAGCATGGTCTAAGATCCTTAATGTTCAGTTCTGGATGAGCAAAAGGAAATAGTAGACTCGCGGTTTTGCCTCTTTGAATCAAGTTTGGGAGAAACGGGGGTTCAAGGTTGTTGGCGGCGGAACGACATCTGCGAACTCTTCGGGCCTTCTTCTGTGCCCCATTCATGTAAGTAAAGCCTTCAAGACTTCGTTTCTTGAAGCTTCAAGGTAGGTTCAGAGCCTTAGGCTGCAGCCCTTGAAGGCTGGGCCTTCATGACTTCAGTTCGTAAAGCTTTGAAGTTTCAGAGCTTTGGGCTGCAGCCTTGAAGGCTGAAGGCTTTAGGCGTCGATGTTGGGCGGGGCTTTACACGAATACGAAAAAGTTACGAATCCACGTTTCAACGTTACTATTTGCATTTCCGGGCTGTCGTGGACTACCCGCTTGAAAACTTGATCGCCAGGCAGTTTTGTATGGCTTTCAAGGTTTCGAAATTTGGGCGGCAGCCTTGAAGGCGGGAGGCTTTAGGTTTCAGATCTTGGGGCTGTAGTCTTGAAGGCGTCAACTCTGAAAGCTTTAAGGTTTTAAGCTTGCAGAGCTTTGGGCTGCAGCCCTGAAGGATGGAGGCTTTAAGTTTCAGATCTTGTTCTGTTTGTTTTTTGCATTTTTCCAGGCCAGTTTGTTATTTTGTTCCGGCATCATCTCACACGAATATGGACCACCAATTTCGTCAGCAGTTTTCATTGCGAACCACAGGACTCATCGGAACTGAACATATGGCCCTCAGGCGAGGCTTGCCAGGCTTGGAAGAAAGTCGTCCAGGCTGCGTGTCCTGCGTGTGCGAGGCTTGCCATTCGAAGGGCGTGTTTCAGTCATCTCCTTGTTTTTGAGAAATCGGAACGTGCCGAAGCACGACCTCTTGTGTACTCTAAAGCTGGACGACCGAATGCACGCCTATGTCGCGGCTGCAAAAAGACGGTCCGTTGTGTGTTGCGGGCCGTTAACAGAGGCCCGATGGTCCACAATCTCGACTGTGATAAAGACTTCTTCAAACAGGCCCTCTTCCAACTGGCCCACGCTCTTGCCAGCAAGTTTTGTACATTGCTTGACATCCTCGGCCATCGGCAGGGGTTCTAGATGCAGCTGGAACTCCTTGACCAAAGCAATGCCCTCAGCTGGCCCCCGCCACAAGGTCACCATTCCTGACCCTGATGGAGAGGACATCGCCTGCTTAGGAGTTTTAGACCCTTCAAGATCACAGCTTCTTCAAGAATGTTCCAGTATGTGAGCCTCTTAGACCCAATAAGGAGGACAGTCGTATCTAAAACGTCAGAGCCAAGTTTTGGGGCGAAGGATTTAGGAGTTCAGGATTTGCGCCTGTCTTTTTTGTAACACAGGCACTGCCCACGGTGCTCCGAGAAGACCTCTTCCCTTGAGGATGGCGACATCATCGAGATGCCCATCCCGGAGCAGTTCGTCTCCAGAGTGGCAGCTTGCCTGAACCTCCAGTACAACTCCAGGTTTGGAGGGTGGTGGGCGGGCAAAAAAAGAAGCATCAGGAAGCACAGTTCAGTAGCTTATGGACTCTGCTTGGAGCTGAGGGTTTCAGTCTTTGGGGGGGGCCCTGAGGCTTTGGGACTTACGGTGGGTGTTGGGGTTGTCAGGCTTTAGTCCGCACCAGGGATATTGGTTTCTTGAAGTTGCTTCTTGAGATCCCTGTTCAGGCATGGTATTCCACGGGTTCTTTCAGCTCACGCAGAGGATGTTACGACATTCCTTCGAGGCGGTAGTTTGACCATTGCAGCGAGCTCAAACCCTTAGTTGCCCTTTGCATGCTCAGAGTCCTCGATGCAAGGTGGGGAAGAAGATCAAGACGGAGGCCAGGGCCTAGTTGGATTTCAGTGTCGCTTCGGTTTCTCTGAAGCTTGCTAGCTCACACAAATCCCGACTAGCCGAAGGACGATATTCTCCTAGACCCTGCACCCTCAGTCACCCACTATCTAACAGTCCTTCGCCCTCCACCCGAAGCCCTCAAATCCTGAAGCCCTAAACTTAAAGCCCATTTCCCAAAACTCTTGACAGCCCTAGAACCCAACGCTGTGTCTTGCTGTGGCGTTTTCCTTCTGAAAAAAGAACGCCTTCGAACCCGGAGAGGCCATCGAGTTGGAGCTGAAGTTTTGGAGTGTTAGGGCGGGTCTCAGAATTTAGGGGCTTGAAGTGGGGGCGTATGTTCGGGTACAAGAGGCTAGGCCTTTAGGTTGAAGAGTCTTATTAAACTGTGTTGAGTTTAGGATGCCGTGATTCCCCAAGGTGTCTGGCATTTACAGCGGCTGAGCGCCAGGCAGAAATCCGAAGCAGTCAACTTCTGGGTCCGACAAAGTAAGCAAGGAGCCCCTAAGATGGGCCTCAACTGCTCAGCGTGGTAAATGAACATCAAGCACATCCACTTTGTTGTTGTGTTATGATGACACATCAGTGCCGCCACGCTTCAAGCAGACTCATGCCACGAGCATGACGCAGTGTGTCGAGGAGTATCTAAAGTGCTCCGCATCATTCAGCTGATCCTCAAATCTCCTTTAATGAGTGGTAGGCAGCGTAGCCTTGTGTCCCTCACCAGAAAGCCAATGGACCTCCTACAGGCCTTAGGTGTTTTTCAATGAGCATCGACATATACTTGCAGGTACTGGGACGAAGAGCCACTCTACACTCTAGATAGTGTCACATAACGTCATATCGCAATCTCGCAGTCAAAAACCGTCATGCTCGCCTGCATGCTCGCCTGCTTTCTCACCACGAGATGGGACTCGATTTGGGATTTGTGCATCGGAAAAAAGCCTGAGGCCTGAAGCACAGGGACCTGTGAGGGCAAGCCGTGCAGAATTTCACTAGTTGCACAGCGCAACACGTTGCAATCCTTTGAAGCCCTAAGCCGACAGTCGTCAGCCTCCTGGGAAAGTAATGTGACGATGCAGCTCCCGCCATCCCCGGACGGTGAACTCACTGAACTCACGCCTCGTTGATGAGTGTGCGCCGAGGTTGGTGTCAGCTGCTTGAGACTCTGGTTTTGCTAGGTCTTTGAGGGAACTTAGGCGCTTGGCTAGGCTTAAGTGCCCCTCGCCACGTCCATGGACTCATGGGCTCCCCAACCTGACATTCCGAAGTCTTGAAAAGCCTTCAAAGCCTTGAAAGCCTTCAAAGCCTTGAAAGCCTTCTCAACTTCTGCACACTGACAATGGACAATCACTGCCCTGGAGTAGAGTAGGTTCGTCCCTGCGCTTGGCATGTACCTGCCGACATTCGCGGCTTTGTCTGTGGCCGAACGTCGTGCACTGTGCCTTCTGCGAGCTGCCAAGGAAGCTTCTGTTCAGTCCCTGCTGGCCTGCTGCTTCTGGATGCGCGGCCCAAAATGCTTTCGCCCCAAGTGCCAGATTCCGAACCGCCGAACATTGAGTTTCATTGAATGTCTTAAAGCCGCAGTCTTTGGCAGAACAGGTCCGGTCTTCAAGAGCGCATTTCAGCTTGTCAGCAGGTTTTCAACCCCAAAAACCCCAAGACACATCCTCAAGCAATGGCATTTGTGGGATGGCTCGCTTGTTTGCTGCAGCTCGGCTGACGTGTTGGGATCTGAGGGCAGGAAGATGTTTCCGCCAGATGTGATCGAGGGATTATGCGGTTTTCAGTGTTCCTCTGATCAAGGGATTGGCGGGCCGTGGATTGATGCCAGAGATTGGTTAGCCGGCTAGCCCTGATAGGTTCATCTTGCTTCCGATATAGCCCTAAACCCTAAAACCAAAACCTCGTGTGTTGTAGGTTCGAGGTTCGAGAACTCCATTTGAACCTGCCTTAAACTCTAACCCCCCAAACCTAGAAAGCCTAGCGCCAACCGACAACCCGGGGCTTTGCCCTAGCTAATAGTTTTGAAGTCGCCAACATCGTAAGTCAATGGCTACTTAAAGATCCAAGTATAGGCCATACCTTTGAAGTGTTCTTTGCGCCTTTACGGATGTTGTCCCCGGTACTATTCACCTGCACATGACGCAGTTGGATGCTTCTCGATACAACCTCGAGTCCCTCCCGTGTTTCCGAACGATTGCTGAAAGCACGTGCCCCCTGGTCCGAAGAAGCCCCAATCCAAAAAAAACGGCCGTGTTCAGGGGTCCGTAGAGTCTATGGTAGAGCCTTGGGATTACTGCAGGGCCGCCACTCTGGCCGACGCCGCCGCGCACGGCAATGACAGCGCCCCTGAGGCTCGGGCAAGGAAAACCATCCCAAACCCTCTGTGAATGCTCTCAGTGAATGCTCAAAAGGCTGCAAGTAGAGAAGTTGTTGCTCTCAGGTCTACCTCATGATGCCCCTGACCCTCGTGAACAGCAGCGGCCACATCGAAGATGAGGAGACCTCTTCAGCTCTGCGAACAGACTCGAAAAGAGCTACGAAGAGCTTAAAAGCGGCTCCGGGATGGGTTTTTGTGAAAGTGGGATCCGCGGCATTGCGTCCGGCGCAGGAGTTTGGTTGTTTGGTTTTAGAGTGTCCGTTTGTTGTGTCAACCTTGTGCAAGTCTGATTCAAAGGGATGGTTTCTCGAAGCCGGTCATGGACAGCAGATCCGGAAAGAGAGCCTTACAGAGATGCGTGTGCAGTCTGCTCCGAGAGTGCTGGCCAGCGCCATATGCCGGGTGCACAGGGCGCACACCTTGCAAGCCAGAAGGAACATCTGGACAAGATCTTCGATGGGATCAAACACACAGGAGCTGCCACTCGGCCTGCTAGCTGGGGTGGCGAGTTGGGTAGGTATACATGTACATTTGGCTTTCTTCTGGCTGGCTTTTAGGACTTTAACTTTTTGAGTTTTTGTAGAAACTACAATAACGAGCCTAAAAGTTAACTATCAGGAGGGTTCAGAAGTCAGCCAAGTATATATATATATATATGTATGTCCATTTATATATCTATATGCATGTTGTTCATATATGTATATGTATGTGTATATGTATGTGTATATGTATATGTATACGTATATGCATATCTATATGTAT